GAAGCATTGAATTAAATTGCAATACATAAATTTATAAATAATTAAAAATAAAATTTCTATGTATATATTTCCAAAGAAACATTAATTTAAACATTAAAAATTAATCTGTCTATTTATTTATTACTTCTACATTAAATAGTAGAAGCTTTAATATTTGAATTATATTTAAATGCAGTTGAGCTGTTCATTGTTTAATTATTGTTAATTGTCTTGTTTAGATTGCATCTATTATTACTGGCAATTGTTTGGCTATTTGATTTGATTTGCCCAAATGACCGTATTTGTTATTGCTTATCTGTTCGCTTCACTGGCAACTGTTTTTGCTTGCTGTCATTAAATGCGTCCGTCTGACTGTCCGTCTGACTGTCCGTCTGTCCGTTTGTCACTTGCCCTCAAAATTGTGGTGATTTTTGTGTCTGTTTGCCATTTGGTGGTTGGCGTGTGAAGCATTTGCATTTATGTGGAATTTCCTTGGCACATGTTTTCCTCTGGCGCTCATTAGTTTTGTTTGCTTGCCATTAAAGATTTGCCCCTATAAAATTGTGGCACACGTGCCGTACGCAATTCCATTTGCAGCCAACGTGTGCAGTTGGCAAACTATTGTGTCATTGGCGCGGGCAGGTGTGTAGGACACGCCCACTCATGTTGCCGCATTTATGCATAATTTAACTAACAAGACCTTGTCGACTTCGTTGTCCTTGTTTGGCTGTGTGTGTGTGTGAGCATCTCTCTCTCTCTCTCTTTCTGTCTCTTTCTGTATGTAGGCGTTTCTATTTTCTTGCTCATTTTCCGCATCAGCAGAGCAAACGGGGCAACATCAGGTAAGGGCCGAGAGGTGAGCAACTGTGGCACATTGAATAGGTTTACCTAGATACATAAAACAATGCCCGGCGAGGCTAATGGGCTTATGACTCTGCGGTTTCTGGGTGGTGCAGCCGGAATAACCTACAGGCGCTGCTGCCGCCCCCTTGCCACGCCTCCAACTGAAACATAACCAAAATCCACAAGCTGAATGAATGTGAAGGCAACAGCGAAAGTATCTTAGCCCCTAAACAAAAGGCCAAGGGTTCCATTTTTTTTTTCGCTTTTCGCTTTGCTTTCGTTTGGGTTACGGTTCGACAGTCAAGACTGTTGTGAGTGGGCGAAATGTGGGGATTGTTGGCCTAAAAAGGCAGTCAACAAAGTTGTTATGATGACGATTTTGCTGTCGTTGTCGTTGTTGTTGTTGTCGTTGTTGTTCTATTCTTTCTTCTATTCCTCTCGTGCGAGCTAAAGTAAAGTCTGGTCGCCCGCTCTGTGACATTTCATTTTGTTGCTCGGCAACTCTGGGCAAACGCCGCTGCTTATCATGTATTTATAATGAGCGCATTAGCAAGAAATGTCCAGAAAAGGTTGCCCAACATCTTCTAAGTAACTTACAGAAAGAGAGAGACAAAGAGACAGGGAGGGGGAGTGGGACAGTGAGACAGCAAGCCGACTAGCTTAAACTGTTTGGCTGGTTGAGATTTACATTTGGCGCGACTCGTTGCGCTGTGCCACTTTGCTGTTATTGCCCCCGTTTTCGCTGGGGCCAGTCATTGTCTTTAAAATTTATAGCCTACTTTTCAGCGTTGGCTTAAAGAGTCAAGGCTGTCGCTTTAAGTGGCTTTTGGGACATTCGCTGCTGTCAATGGCAGAGCGAAACGAAATTTAATGGACTCCCCAGGCCTCAAGGTTAAGTCTTTAGTCAGGCAATCTCAGCAATACCTCAACTTCTGGCTTTAAAGTACAGGGTATAATAGATTTGAGAGCTGGCTAATGATGATGTCATCGTCAGCTGTACGCTGTACGCTGTGTGCCTCAGCAAACTTTACTCATAACTGTGAGACGCATTTAATAAGCGATGCCAA